ACGAATGTGTTTCGGCCACTTACTTCACAGAATTATTAGATAATTAATGTCCGGGTGTTAAGTTGTCTCTCCGGGCAAAAATGCTTCGCTGGCTGTACAAAAATGCTTCGATAAGCGGACAAAAATGATTCGCTAGCCGGACAAAAACGCTTCGCTGGCCGGATAAAAATACTTCATGGGCCGGACAAAAATGCTTCACTGGCCGGACAAAAATGCTTCGCTAGCCGGACAAAAATGCTTCGCGGGCCGGACAAAAATGCTTTGCTGGCCGGACAAAAATACTTCATGGACCGGACAAAAATACTTCGCTAGCCACACAAAAATATTTCGCTTGCCTGACAAAAATGCTTCGATAAGCGGATAAAAATGATTCGCTAAGCGAACAAAAATGCTTCGCTGGCCTGACAAAAATGCTTTGTGGGCCGGATGTGCTCTAGGAGCCGGGGGTTGCCGACCCTGGGTTTAGATATTGCTGAACGAATTTGGTGCCACGTGTGGCAATATGTGAAATGTTTTCTAGGTTCAGACATGAGTTCAGTTCTTAGGCTAATGATTTATCTTTCTATCAATTGGCCATGTTTTGTGAAACTAATGCTCTACTATGCACCTTATCTATATCTTATAGTTTTTAAGATATAACGTCATTCACATTAGCTTTTATAGTGCTAGATATAGTGCTTGATAGTTTTACTGCGACATTGGTTTCACACAAAAAATTGCAAAGAACAGAAAAACATTGGATTTTCATACTACTTAAAATAAAAACTTGAATAATTCCTCATTTTTTCTTCAAACATGTCGCCAATAAATTGCCCTCAGGCAAGAAAAAAGAGTGATTTTAGTCATAACCGCTTCCTTGCATATAACGAAAAACCACGAAAAACTGTTTAAAAAGCCCGTTCTTCGGCCATAATTCAATGGTTTTTCATCCGATACTTTCTAAACCTTCTATGTCACTTACATGACACACATATTATCTTGTGTGAATGTTTGGTTTAGATTATTTCAGTTAAGTGGACGAAATCTGAGACAAACTAGGTCCAAAATCGGCTTTTACCATTGAGCCAATAGTTTCTTCATATGATTCCATTATAAACTGGCATTCGGACAATCTTTGATGCAAAGATTTTTTAATAATTATTGAAGCGTTAAACGGGAAAAATTCCCGAAGAACCTCTTATTAAAACCAATTTTACAGTAAACGTGTGAAAAAGGAGGGATCGTTGATAAGTTTGCACTTGCAGTTGAATCAAGCTCTGGGGAATTATTCCTGTTTTTTTATTATTATTAGATATGTGAACAAGCCATACTATTTGAGTGTTATTACGGCCATAGGAAATTTAATGAATATCTAAAACATTGAAACAATTTAAACACCAGCAACGACAACACAAGAAGGTTTTATAGATGGAATTCCGTTATTAAGAACAATCAAACACTTGCTAATGACATACCGTAAATTTTTTATCTTCAGTTGGGGTCCACATAGTCGCCTAGATACCTAGGTTTACACTATGTTGATGGGGCTATGATCTCGACAAAGTGTGGGATGTAGCGATCCAAATGCCTGCAGTAGTAGACGGCGCGATATGTTGATTCTATAAGAAGTTTCCGGAGAACAGGGCTTCGCTGTTAAATATATACGTTTTCCGGATTTGTAATAGATGATATATATATATATATATGTGTGTGTGTGTGTTATTGTTATATGTTATTTATATAGACACAAATATTTAAGTAAATGCTCTATTTATAATAGGCAATATTAACATTTACCGTCCTAAACGTCCAAGAAATTTTCATAGAAAATATGTCTCCTCCGACAGCAAACAAACCTGTATCCTACACGAAACAGTCATATAGCCTGACGTGCTATAGCAGTTTAGCTACAGAGGAGCGTCTTGTTAGCAGGGTCGATTTTACTGCTTTTAAATTCTTTTGTTAATACAGTTTATTATAAACAGGGCATTTATTAAATATTTGTGCCTATATAAGTAACATATAAAAAATATATATGAAAATAATTGTCCGACTTTTGTTCATTTCATAGCGTGTGATGTCATATATATATATATATATATATATATATATATATATATATATATATATATAAAAAAGAATGAAGAGTAAGTTTTCAGCGCTCAGAACATTAATTTAAAACAGGGCTTAATACAAAAGTAGAGCAATAAATATGTATTTATTATGCAGTGTTACATTAGGACTATATTTAGTCGTTCCCCCACAAGGCCTTTTTAACGTGGGCATTTCCGAGCCATTAGGCTCGGCCAAAAAATAGCCCATTTGAACCCGTATAAACGGGTCCAGGGCCTGTTTAACCTCCCCAAAAGAGACTCCACCCTTTGGCGTAGCCTCCTTCGGGTTCCTCTCCGTCCGTAGACAGAGAGTTGAACCGAACCGTCGCTCAGAAAGTTTTACATTAGGACATGTACATACCCACTACAAAAATGTACATTTTGTTTCATCTTACTAAACACTTAGCCTCCTTTCTTTCTCTACATATAAATTCTTCTTTTTACCTTTTATGGGAAAATTTCCAATGGCGAAAGTGAAAGATGTGCTTTGTTAATTGCATTTCGGAATAAAATATTTTAGTAGCATCTTGATTTCTCACATGATGAAACGTCAAAAAATTTTAACGTTGAAACAAGATGTAAAGTTTTGTAGTGGGCATGTGCATGTTCTAATATAACACTGCATAATATATATATATATATATATATATATATATATATATATATAAAGAAAACAAACAACTTTAAGGGTCATTGGTTATAATTTATTTCCCTAAGAGGTCTTTTCTTCCTGGCTCATCAAACCACACTATCAAAGGTGAAAAAATTAATTTCAATTTACATATAGTTTTTATATACTTTTGAGGTGTAGTTTTAAGTTGATGTAAGGTGATCCAGAGAGTGTAGAGAGAGACAGAGAGAGTGACAGTCATTGTTGAAATTAGAGACGGAAGGGAGAGATAGGAATGATTTTAAATTTATTTTTATTACAACACTTAATTGTGAGAAAGTTGGATAAGGACCACACATTGACCCATTTAATAAGTCATCTCATAAGAAACGATATAGAGAGAAAAAAGAAAGTAAAGTTCTAAGAAATCAGAGGCGGAATATATATATATATATATATATATATATATATATATATATATATATATATATATATTTATATATATATATAGGAAAGGAGGGATAAAAAATACTTGCATGTACGCAAGTATATTTATTCCTAAGGTGTTATAAATAAAGTGCTCAATGTTATGAACCAGAGTTATAAGTATATATTAGTGAATACACATAATATCCAACATCGATTACACGACGCGGAGTTTCATGCAGTTAATGCAATCTTCTGGCCGTTATCTGACAGATAATGCATATAATGCATATCTTTCAACATAATTTCCATCCTTGTAATGCACTAATCATATCTAATGTCACGACGCATTTCAAGGTAAATGGTTAAAAAATTGCAATACGTCTTATGGCCGAATTTGACGACTCGTGAATGCTAGATTTATACTGTTGAAACTTGACTAATACATGGAATAATAATACAACACAAAATGTACTTAGAACAAAATGTATTGAAACAAGAAAGTGTACACAATATTTACATATAGTCTTTTGTATATTCTTGGGAAGACCGTTCCTGGAGAATGTGTTGACTGAGTCGCAGTCGGGCAGAGTCTCTGGTTGAATCTCTTGATTCCTCCCTCTCTTCCCGGTACCAACCATATTTATATGGTCGGTACTCCACTATGCAAATTAGGTGGATCCTACCACAACATATACCGAACGCTCATTAGCGTAACTTATTATTTCACCTTCGAAGTGACTTTCTGACGACACCGAATCAATAATAATAATAATAATAATAATAATATCATTGTTTCATTATTTGTTCTCCTTAACTCGGCTCCTGCACGCAGTCTTCAGCACGTGAAATGTTCCAAGAAGTTCTGCCACCTGCGCTAATGATGTCAGGTGTCATCATTATTCTTTGAGATCCCATCCTAGTCTCCCATGTTTCGGCCGAGTGACGAGGATCGTATTTCATCTGCTATCGACAGCTTAGTGACAACACATTCATCAGCACCCGACCTGTTTTAAACCTGCGTATTTCGAATGACTTCAGGCATGACAAAGGCGTTTTATGAAGGAAAAATACATCTATCTATCTATTTATCTATCTATCTATCTATGTCGGTCGATTTTATGTAGGTCCCTTTGTCCGTCTGTCTATCTCTCTTTCTATCTTTATATATATATATATATATATATATATATATATATATATATATATATATATATATATATATATGAGCCAGACAAACCTACCTAGGTTTCACCTAAACGGATCGTCAGGGAAAGTTTGGCTAACGAGGCAAAGAG